GCATTGGTCAAACAGCTTGGGGCTTTCAGCTCCCTCCCCAAATTTTCCGCTCCCATAAGGCCATCATCCCGCAGGTGCAGCTTAGCTCCTGGGTTTTTTTAAACAGGCACTGCTGGGTGAGATTTTATCACTAAGACAGCTAGTGCCTACCCCCAACATCAGGAGGATATAGACTGGTTGGAGGGAGTCCAGAGGAGGCCACGGAGATGCTCCGAGGGCTGGAGCCCCTTTGCTATGGGGACAGGCTGGGAGAGTTGGGCTTGTTCAGCCTGGAGAAGAGAAGGCTCCGGGGAGACCTTATAGCACCTTCCAGTGCCTGAAGGGGCTACTAGGAAGCTGGGGAGGGCTTTTTACAAGGGCCTGTAGTGACAGGACAAGGGGTAACGGGTTTAAATTGAAAGTGGGGAGGGGTAGATTGGATATCAGGAAGAAGTTCTTCCTGGAGCGGGTGGTGAGGCACTGGAACAGGTTGCCCAGAGAAGCTGTGGATGCCCCATCCCTGGAAGTGTTCAAGGCCAGGCTGGATGAGGCTTTGAGCAACCTGGTCTAGTGGAAGGTGTCCCTGCCCATGGCAGGGGGGTTGGAACTGGATGGTCTTTAAGGTCCCTTCCAACCCAAACCATTCTGTGATTCTATGAACACGCTGTGGGGTTGCTCGGGCTGGCTGCCCCTAAGGCTGTTAGCCGGCGGTGATTTGGAGGCCCAGCCAGCAGCACTTGGCGTGACCCGCTGCAGGGCCCTCGCTGACCCTCAGCAGAGCAGCGCTGCGGCCCAGCTCAGCAGCACTTGCCCCTGGGCTGGTTTAGTGTTCACTTAACGGTTGGACTTGGTGTCTTAAAGGTCTTTTCCAACCTTAAAAGATGCCATTCTAAGAGCGAAGAGCTGGCCAGGAAGGAAGGAGCTCCTGTAGGGGAGACCAGGGTGGGTGACTGGCTTTTAACATGCTTTGGCAAAAGACAGTTGTCCCATCCAGCTCACTCTCGAGGGGGGATGTACTTGTGAAAAAGAAGAGACACACTAAAAATAACAGGGAGAATAAGCTTCCCCGATGGCAGGAACCTGCTCTAGACACCTGCTCTTCCCCGAGTGCGACGCAGAAAGTGTCCTTGGCTGGACGTGATTTTGTGCTGACTTGGCAGTTTTCTTGGAGCCTGCCTGCACAGTCACCAACAAGTTGCAGGAGTCGGTTCTCTCTGCCGTCAGGGACACCCAAACGCACCAGCGGCCGTGTGCATGCGCAGCCCTGTCCCCACGTGTGGGTCCTCTGCACGTATCTAAGTTGAAACGACACGAGAGACAAAGCTGTAGGCACGGCGTGGTCCTTAGTACGTAACTGAGGGCAGACGTAGGTAGAGACCTTCAGCGCGGACACGATGCTGCGTTCTGCTTGCGTTGCTGTCTGGAAGCAGTGTGCTGGGTCTCCAGACAGCTCGTAGGGCGAGGGCAACGCGCAGCATCTCACCCTTCAGCCACATTCTGACGTTCGGTGCAGGGTTTCACTCACCTTGGCGTTCCACATCTCCCAGGGCGGAGAGAAGGGGACCCCTTGCCCGGAGGCTGCTGGCGGTGGGGCACAGCCCTGCAGCTCCCCGCTCGCCCGGCTGCGACAGGGCGTAGGCGCAGTGCCTCTGCGATTCCCAGTCCCCAGCCGCGGGGGGACACATCCTGGGGTTTTGACGCCGGTGTCGGAAGCGAAGGCCTCTGTCAGACGGGTCAGCAGAGATCGCTGCCGAGCAAAAACGCCGGCAGATGCGCCCTATTCAGCGCGTGTGCGTAGTCTGGCCCTTCACAGGAACCTGCTTCCTGCTCCCCCCCTCACCCTGGGCCCGTAAAAGGAGTTTTTGATGCACGTGACCAAAACGCGCCTTTCCCTCCAGATTTCACTTACCTTGGCTAAAACAGACGACTGTAGAAGGGACCAGCTCTCCCTCAGCGATCGCTGGGATGCCGCTTTGAGAACCGTGGTGCCAAGTTACCCGAGTGGTGACTTCACAGGCGCTTGGTACTTCTCTGGGCAGGGACAGCGTTTTCACGGTCCCTTTTCCCTCCTGGTGTGTGCCTGACCCTACTAACAGCGGTGCCCTGCTGAAGCGGGCGCAGTGGCAACGCCTTTGTGCCAGCTGACAACCCGAGCCTTCCCATTTCCCCCTTTCCGTTTCAGCTGCGCTCCCCGAAAACGAGCCCCTCCCACCCCCGTGCTGCACATGGGCGGGCGCCGGTCCCGCTCACGGGGCTGGCGGGTGGCTCTTCTGCCTTAGTCACTGCCTACGGGTTTTGGCGTGGTGCGACTTGCCAGTGCCGGGGGGGCAGCCCGCCGATCCCCGACGCCCCGCACGGGCAGCCGAGACCCTGGGGCTCAGGATGTCTCTCCAGCAAGGGCCGTGCCTCGCTTCCGCCCGGCCTTCACCCAGGGCTCTCTGCTCTTTGTTCCGCAGGCCCGTCCGAAGTACCTGAACTGTATTGCAATCAGCTGCTTCTTCCTCGCTGCCAAGACCATCGAGGAAGATGAGGTAACTCTGCTTCCTGCTACCCGAGGGCTGTCGGAAGGGACGCTCTCCCAGCCCCGCTGGGACTGGGCTGCAGCGTGCGCGGTGGTTTCTGTAACGATGCCTCCCCTCGTTTCTTCCGCAGAGGATTCCAGTACTGAAGGTGTTGGCTCGGGATAGCTTTTGTGGTTGTTCTCCAGCCGAAATCCGCAGAATGGAGAAGATTATCCTGGATAAACTGAACTGGGATCTTCACATGGCCACGCCACTGGATTTCCTTCACATCGTAAGTGAGGGGCTATTGACATTCTTTCTGGTGGCGGTCGCGGTAATAAGGTACCTGGACAAAAGCACCTGTAGGGGAGCAGAGCCCTCGGGAAACCACTTCCTGAAGGAAGTTCCCGAAGGAAAACGCCTTGCCAGAGAATAAGACTTGTGACACTTTGGGCTCAGTTCCCAAAATGCGGGCCTGCACTGGATGTGTGCCGAGGCGAAACCTCGTGTGTTAAACCACACGTGCAGACTCGCGGCTCCTGAAAATCCCGCCCCTGAGCCTTAATTGCTAGCGGCTTTGCTCGGAGCCGAATGCCAGGCGGCATGAAAACAGGAGCTACAGCCTACGGCGAAGGCACCGGTGCGGGGCAGCGGGCGTGCTCCCCGCCTGCCGCAGAAAGGCACAGCCAGAGAACTGGACTGAGGGATGAGATGAGACAAAGGCAAGGGAAAAGCATCCTGAGATTCTTTGCTGGAGCTCATCCTCTCCTCTTGCTGGAGAAGGAGTTTTTGTCCAGGGCACCCGAACTGCCGAGCATGCGTTGAGAGAGGAGGGCGGAAGGGCCTTTCACAGACCCCGAGACACCTGGTCCCCAGGCAGACGAAGTGCACGACGGCAGGTCCTGCCAGAAAGGCTGTGCCAAGCTGCTGCTGATGGGAAGTTGAACACATTTGGGTTTTTCCCACGGTGTGGAAACTGTCTTGAAGGATACTGGAGGATCCTTTGTGTCCTAAACATGCCACATGCCATTCGCGAGGTCTGACCTGGCTTTGCCTGCCGAGTTGCCCGTCGGTGACGCCGGCAGCCTCACGTTCTTATTTCCCCCCCCCAGTTCCACGCAGTTGCCGTGTCCAACAGGCCTCAGCTCCTGACCACCCTGCCCAAGCTGAGCCCCTCGCAGCACGTGGCAGCGCTCACCAAGCAGCTGCTGCACTGCATGGCCTGTTACCAGCTCCTGCAGTTCAAGGGCTCCATGCTGGCGCTGGCCATCGTCAGCCTGGAGCTGGAGAAGCTGCTCCCCGACTGGCTGGCTCTCGTCATCGAGCTGCTCCAGAAGGCACAGGTGAGGGCCTGCTGGCACCGCACGGGGGGAGCGGGGGCCGCAGAAGGCTGGGTCTTGCTCAGTGCTCCGGGGATCCGAGCCAGATGGGGCTTTCAGATCCCTGCCCGCTGCTCTGCCTGCAGTCACGCCTCTGCGAGGGCGGCCGCGCTTCAGCCCGGAGGAACAGTTGGGCAAAGCCTTGCTCTTGACTGCATCCAGTCGGTGACGGCGGGAGGAGCTGTGTGCCCTGCTGCACACGGGCTCTGCGCCAGCGAGAAAAACAACACGCTGGGGAGAAGATCCTCGTTAGCCCCTCAGCCCTTCGCTCTCCGTGTGTGGGGCGGTTGGGCAGGTGCTGGAAAGAGACACTCAGGCTGCTGAAAATGCTCAGAGGAACCTTGTAGTGTCTGAGAGGTTTCCCTCTGCACTGTTCCCACGGAGGGTGAGAAGGAGCAGGGGTCCATATCTTTGGAAGCTGCTGTGTTGGGGGTCTTTCCGGCCCCTCGTCACTTACTGTCCCCTTCACCCAGCGTGTCGTTGAGGAGCACGGTGCACGGGTGGCGGGTGCGTTCAGAGCCCTAGCTGACAGCCTCTGTGCAGCAATGATCCCGAAATGCCGGTGTCTTTGCTTGTCTTCCCACTCCAGATGGATAGCTCGGAGCTGATCCACTGCCGGGAGCTGGTGGCACATCACCTTTCCACTCTGCAGCCTTCTCTGCTGCCCAATTCTGTATATGTCTACAGTCCCCTCCAGCATACCCTGGTGACCTGTAACAGAGGAGCGTTCCAACGCCAGCCCTCCTCTGTCCCAGGGCCAGGTTTCTCCAAGGACAACGGCAGGCCAGAAGTGCCAGTCACAGGTACAGCCGCGCTCTACCAGCGTCTGCCAGCTCCCAGCGGTTGCAAGCAAGCCTCTGCCAAGCGTAAAGTGGAAGAGATGGAAGTGGACGACTTCTACGATGGCATCAAGCGTCTCTACAACGAAGACATCGCTCCGGAGGTGGCGGCTCTTGAGAGCATGGGCTCCGTGTGCGGCGCTGATGTCTCGAGGCAGGAGGGCAGCGTTTCCCCCTGCCCGCCTTTGCAGCCGGTGTCTGTCATGTAGCGGGGAGCGCGCACCACCCGCTCCACCCCAGCCGCTCCGGAAACCACCCGGAACCCGGCAGCCCGCGTTCTCGGTGTGGGGGAGAAGGGGCCATACCTTGTCAGGCTGAACTGAAGGGAGCCAAAAAACAGGAAAAAAAAAAAAAATCCCGACCCTCGTTTGAATCTTCTTCTTGTGCGGCTAATTCTAGTTCCACTATTTAAGCACTTAAAACCACAAAAAAGTATAAAAATCTAAAAAAAAGACCCAAAAACCAAACAAAAAAAAGTAGCAAAGAATTGTTTCTTTCTAGTGTTGTCCGTTCCACTGTTTTTTCTGCTCCTGTGTATCGTAACCCATTCTCCACCTCCAAGAGCTCACGAGTCGTGCGGAGTCGTTCCAGGTTTCCCAGCCAGCTAACACTTCTCCAACCCCGTTTCCATCTGCTCCTCGCTCTCCTTCTGCTCACTCCTCTCTCAATTCCCAGCCAGTCTCGTGCAGGATGCTCCCTGCTATCCCGACTTTCCCGGCAGCTTTCTTTTTCCTTTTGAAAGAGAGAGACCTGGTTTTGTTCTGTTAGCACTTTGCCGCCTAAACCTGGTATTTAAGAACTGGATTGCAGTGAGAGGTCAGTCAGGGAAAAAACCCCAAACGCAGCGCTCACAAGCCGCTCCACGTTAGAGTAACAGCCAGAGGCGTGGGAAGGGCCTCGCTAGAAGAGCAGCGGGGCAACTGGCCAGGGCAGACCGCCAGGGCAGACCCCCCCCCGGGTCGGTCTGTGCTTTCGGGCGCAGAAGAGCAGCGAACGGGTTGGGATCGCTTGTACAAAACCCGCGTTTCTCTCCTTGTTTGCCCCGAGAAGCGTTGCGCTGGGCGTGGATTCTCACCCACACCCGACTCCCGGCGTCAGGCGTAAACCTGGAGTTCTGCAGGGCCTTGTTCTCCCCCGCACGTTGACGAGCTCGGCGCGTCACCAGCACCACTCAGCGACGCGTGCCTGAGGTTTGGAAAGTAATTA